AGAAGAGAAGAGAAGAGAAGAGAAGAGAAGAGAAGAGAAGAGAAGAGAAGAGAAGAGAAGAGAAGAGAAGAGAAGAGAAGAGAAGAGAAGAGAAGAGAAAGAATAACTAAACATGTATGGTAGAGAATCCTGCATGACCTATATCAAATGCTGATCAAGAATCAGTTTCATTCTGTCCATCTCCCCAATCTTTCTAGCACTTACTTGGATCTTCCTGAATTGTTTTCCAGGACTGTACGGCCAGTGGTATCCATGCGTTGAATCACTAAATGGTCCAAAACCATCTTCTTTTTGGCCCGTTCTATGATCTCCTCTTCCACAGTTCCTTTTGTAACTAAGCGGTAAATATTTACCTACAGAAAAAGGTAACATGATGTTTTCCAACACCAAAGGCTAGCTCTTTCAAAAAACCAAAAGAGGAAAAAACAAACTAGAATTTGTTCTCTACTACCATAAATGATCACAAGCCATCCATCCAAAAAGGCAGCATGAGTACAGGAATGTTTTCATTATCTACAGCAGATGACATTCTTCAATATATCTGCTTCTGAAGATCATATATTGTAGCCATGTTCTTATGGTAAAACTGTTAAAGGACAATTGGTTTCAGCCAGGTGCAGTGAGTGGCTCATGCCTGTAATGTTAGCTATTCAGGAGGCTGAGATCTGGAAGCTCAGAATTTAAAGCCAACCCAGGCAGAAAAGCCCATCTCCAAAATAATCAGCAAAAAAAGGCAAGGTAGGAAACATGGCCCAAACAACAGAGTGCTAACCAAACAAATAAGCAGAGCGAGTATAAGGCCTGAGTTCAAACCCCAGTACCATTTTAAAAACTAAAGTAGCTGGGTACCAGTGGCTCAGGCTGAACCAGTGGTTCAGCAGGAATGACCATGAGACTCTGATCTCCAATTAAGCACCAGAAAACGGGAAGTAGTACTGTGACTCAAAGTGGTAGATGCTAGCCTTGAAGCAAAAAAGCTCAGGGACAGGCTGGGAAGGTGGGTCAGTGGTAGAGCGCTTGCCTTGCATGCATAAGTCCCTGGGTTCGATTCCTCAGCACCACATGAGCAGAAAAAGCCGGAAGTGGTACTGGGTTCAAGCGCTACAGCGCTCGCCTTGAGCTGAAGAGCTGAGGGACAGCGCCCAGGCTCAGAGTTCAGGCCCCACGACTGACAGGAAAAAAAAAAAAAAAAAAGCTCAGGGACAGCGCCCAGGCCCAGAGTTTAAGGCCTAGGACCAACCAAAAACATAAGCTGGTGCTGGTGGCTCACACCTATAATCCTAGCTACAGGAGGCTGAGATCTGAGGATCGCAGTTCAAAGCCAGCGCAGCCAAAGTCTTTGAGATTCTTATCTCCAATTAACCACCAAAAAGCCAGCATTAGATCCATGGCTCAAGTGGCAGAGTACTAGCCTTCAGAGACAGTGTCCAGGTCCAGAGTTCAAGCCCAAGAACCACACACACACAGCTTTACAAAACTGAATGCATGAAACCTATGAGTTAAACAATTCTAGAACAGATTTTGAGAGTCATACATGAGGATTCCCATGTATTTCAGAGGTAACTTTCAGGTGTAATAAAAATGGAGCAGCTTGAACAATGCTAGATCATTAGCAACTATTAAAACAGGGATAAAATCTACCTCTGGGTCTGTTCTTCATATACTAACTTCTTTGGTAAGCACACAGAAAGCCACAAAAGTGCTTTTCAAATACAGAACAGTTAGAACTCATTATTGGGATCATCTCTTCTTCATACTTGTGAATAGAAACTGACATTTGGGAGCAATGAAAGCAAACAACAGAGAAAATTAGCACGTGACAAACGTCCTGCAAAGGCTAAATACACTACTCTTACAACCCACAGCCCAAACCAGATGCCTCTGCCACTGACCTGCTTCTTCTGGCCAATTCGATGGGCTCGGGCTTGTGCCTGCAGGTCGTTCTGGGGGTTCCAATCGGAGTCAAAGATGACAACTGTGTCCGCAGAAGCCAAATTGATTCCCAGGCCACCAGCCCTTGTGGAGAGCAGGAAACAGAAGTCCTGTACACAATGCAATACACTACTTTATGCAGTGACCTTCTTATAAACAGTTTCACAGTCCAATAAGCCCTTATACCTGGAAACCCCTGCAGGTGTGAAGAAAATTGAGATATGATACACACACGTTATGGAGCTAAAAGAAGAGTCAAGGACTTGACAGCAAAGGGAACTTGCATTTGTTTAAGAGGAGTCCGTGCAGTGAACTAAGGAGTAATGGCGGAATCCAATGAGGCCACAGAACCAGGTTAGTGTTACCACCTGCTAAAATTAGCATATACCAGAGGTTAAGCCCAAAAAACAGACAAAACTCATTAGCATGAGAATTGTTCCAGAAAATTACCCATATATGTTACGTTCTGGAGAAACAGCTTCTCCAGGTAAGGCAGTTATTGTGAATGATAATGTTCATAAACCAATGTATGAATTTAGATTGTTGCAGACATAGAAACACTATACTAAACCAATCACAAACTGAGACTGCTAAGAAGCACACTACACTCAATCATCACAAAACATAACAAAGAAAACAGAACAGGCTGGGCTGAAGAGCAATGTGTACAAAGTCCAGACACTGATACCCCCAGCTCTCCAGTAATAACAATGGAAACAAAGCAGCCAGGAATACCTGCTGCCATGTGAGTGCTCAGAAAAATGTGCACACAAGAAAAATGAATAAATAGCTGGACATCAGTGGCTCATGCCTGTAATCCTAGATACTAAGGAGGCTGAGATCTGAGGATCACAGTTCAAAGCCAGCCAGGGTAGGAAAGTCCATGAGACCCTTATCTCCAATAAACCACCAGAAAACCAGAAGCGGCACTGTGGCTCAAGTGGTAGAGCACTAGCCTTGAGCTGAAGAACTCAGGGACAATGCCAAGGCCCAGAGTTCAAGCCCCATGACTGACACAAAAAGAAAAAAAAAAATCTCCATGTAACCAGAGTCAAAAACGATAAAAGATGAGGATCTTATGAGAAGCTAATCATGTCTCTCAAAAGCTGATGTTATGTTGGCAGAGGTAGCTCTCAAAAATGGATAGTTTAGTAAGCTGGTATGCCTAAGGTACACACAGAGACACAATGAAAAAATCTCTACCCTCTTACTGGGTGCTGGTGGCTCAAACCTATAATCCTAACTACTTGGGAGGCTGAGATCTAGGAATCACGACTCAAAGCCAGCCTAGGCAAAAAAGTTCATGAGACTCTTATCTCCAGTTAACCACAAAAAAAGTCAGAAGTGGCGCTGTGGCTCATATGGTTAGACCACTAGCCTTGAGCAAAAACGCAAAGGGACAGGCCCTGAGTTCAAGCTCCAGGACCAACACAAAAAGAAAGTCTCCATGTCCAAATAGTTTCATTCAATAGCATTAGACCATAGAATTCAAAAGGAGATAGCTGCCTCAAGAAATTTAAATAATTCCATTCAAGAATAATCAGCAGGGGTGATGATGCAGTATGTGACCCTCAGTGAACTACTGCTCTATTAAAATCTTATGTCTAGCTGGTGCTGGTGGGTCACCTCTGTAATCCTAGCTACTGGAGAGCCTGAGATATGAGGATTATGGTTCAAAGCCAGACCAAGCAGAAAAGTCCATGAGACTCTTATCTGCAATAAATTAAAGCCAGAAGTCATACTGTGTCTCAAGTGGTACTTCACTAGACTTGAGCAAAAGAAGCTCAGGGACAGCACCTAGACCCTGTGTTCAAGGACCAGGACTTGGGGGGGGCGGGGGTGAAGGGAGGAGAAATTGAATGAAAACTTCTCAAGATGCAACTTTAGGATTTTTTCTGAGAACAACAGGCAGCATTCAATCCATGCTATCTCAAACTACAAACAACACAAAATCACCTTCAGATATACTATACAATAAAAACAGATGGTGCTTACTGAGTGTCAAGCAATGCTACCAACACTTCATGTTTGTTCCCAAATCCCAAGGGAACAATGTGAACTAGTTTTGAAATCACTGGAGTTTCACAGCTGAAGAAACAGAGAGAAAGGAGGATGAGGACTGTGTGATACCCAATGCTTTTATAATTCCTCATCCTGAAGAGAGAGATGCCCAAAGGGATGTCCTGGGCTCCAGAAGCACCAGGTACTAGCAACCCTATGTACAAATCTAGAGGCAGAAGGTAGATCATGATGTAATAACAGAAGAGGCATTACAATTCTTTTTTTTTTGGCCGGTCGTGGGGCCTGAACTCTGGGCCTGGGCGCTGTCCCTCGGCTCTTCAGCTCAAGGCTAGCGCATTACAACTTGAGCCACAGCGCCACTTCCAGCTTTTTCTGCTTATGTGGTGCTGAGGAATCAAACCCAAGGCCTCACACACATGAGGCAAGCACTCTACCACTGAGCCAACTTCCCAGCCCAACAGTTCTTAAAGCTCTCTGAAAGCATGCTAAATCTGCTCTACTGACTTAAAAAACATAGTAGCCAAGGCACCAGAAATTGATACTCTTTCAAAAAAATACTTTCTGTTCTGCTTCTGGGTTCCCTCAGCAGCTTCCACTATCGCAGGTTCCATTACTGTATATTATTATAGTTTTATTCCCATTAAGGTACTTCTCCCCTACAACTTTCAAATTCCCTGTCCTATGAAAATCTGCTATGTTCACACTGCGATAGAATCAGTTTCCAATCTGTTTTAAGCAGTTCTAATACAGGGGTGCCCAAAACAAGATACTTTACAATGTCAATCCAAGTGGGACACTTGGCAATTGAAAAGTTAAAGAACATTAATCCCCACCATCCCTTGATCCCCACCACAGAACTTAGCAAACACACTGTTCAAACTTTAGTTTGAACCAAAAATAACCAATCAGAACCTTCTGATGTAACACACACTCATCAAAACTAATCCTACTGGCCAGCCTCTCCCACTCTTGACTTGCTATGCTTCCAAGTGTATATACATGGTATCTAGAAGCTCCCAGAAAAGTATCCTTAATTAATCTAGATCCGAGGAGCAAAGCAAACATGAATATGCTCTGATGGAAAGACAAGTAAGATTTCTACCAGGGATTACTCATTCCTTTCTCAAGATAGGGGGATGGGCACTTTGGTTCATGTCTATAACCCCAGAGACTGATAAAGGCCAGCTTTTCAATCAATAAGCCATGCCTATGATCCCAGCTATGTGGGAGGTAAAGGTAGGAGGATCATGTCTGAAAACATACCCAAAAGAACACAAAGGAGGGATGGAGAGAATGTGTGAGCCATAACTCAAGTGAGAGCTCCTAGCAAGCACAAAGCCCTTTAGTTAAAATCCCAGTGGTGCCAAAACCACCACAGTGAGGTTTCTGGAAAAAAAAAATACACTCGGCTGGAAAGACTTGTTCCTCGATACAGAGCCCAAGTTGCAAAAACAATAAAGCCACATATAGCATACCTCAGATCCATCTGCATTGAAGTGATCCAGTGCCTGCTTTCGGATTTCTCCCTTGATAGAACCATCCAGACGCTATAAAAGTAAACCATAAGGAAATCATACGGTAGGAAGATCAACTACACTCAGCATACAACACCGTGCTCACAACCTTTATAGTCCCAATACCCACTGGGTAAAAATAACTGGAATGCACTGGCAGAGGGCTATGAAGGGGCTATGCAGAAACAGCATATGCTACGTGACCTGAGCTCTCTAGTTACAAACTCAAGGTCAGAAGCTTCTAATTCAAAGATTAACCCAAGAATCAGAATGCCTATTAGAACCTATATGGAGAAAGAAGAAAACCCGGCCTGCGTGACTGAGAAACATATGACTGGCTGCCTACTAATTATAGCTCCAGCTATCCCAACTTTTCTGAAAATTAGAAATCAGAATAAACTATTCAAGCTATACCATCCACTTAAAAGAGCCTCAACAGGGCTGGGAAGGTGGCTCAGTGGTAGAGTGCTTGCCTTGCTTGCATGAGGCCCTGAGTTCGATTCCTCAGTACCACATAAACAGAAAAAGCCGGAAGTGGCGCTGTGGCTCAAGCGGTAGAGCACTCGCCTTGAGCTGAAGAGCTGAGGGACAGCGCCCAGGCCTAGAGTTCAGGTCCACGACTGGCCAAAAAAAAAAAAGAGCCTCAACATTCACTGGTGTTCAGAATTCTCTTCTCAGAGCACAGGTCAGTTCCAGCACAGTAAAATCATTTAATAAACATAAATCAAATAATGAAGTGTGACTATACTAACATATAAAATACTTCTCACTATGTAAAATCATTGTCACATCTCGTCTCCTTGTAGTCTGCACTTGAAATGAACAAACTGACCCAGAGGTGACCAGCTGGCTGCGACTTGGCATCTCCCCAGCTCTGCCCTCAAACCCACAGCCACCTGCCTTCAAACCAACACACTCACACAGGAAGTTCCTTCTTAATTGCTCTCTCAGGATCTGAACCAAAAGTACTTTTAAAAGGCAGGTCACAGCCTATATTTAAAACCAGGAAATCCATATGCTCTCCTTTTAGCATTCCCATTAATAGAGAACATTTACACAATTCCCTAAGCCACTGATTAGACATGACAGACCTGTAGCACCCAGCTCACCCTGGAGTGAGGAGACATGTATTCTTGATGTACAAGAGATTGTACTACATAGAAATGAAAGCTCACAGCAATCAGAAGCACTGAGAGACAACTGTCTGCAAGACACCACAGCATTAAGCTTACATCCAAAGACTGCTGTGATGAGACTCTGCTAGTCTATAACATCTGTAACGCTGCCGCCTCTCCTTCCCTTTCTTTCTAGAACCCAGGCTCTAGAATCAGGTTCACAATTTCTCCTCTCTGCTTTGACTATAATCTTAGATAGATAAGATGCCACCTAAGGACGGGGGTGTGATCCAGGGCTAGCACCTGTCCAGCATGCTCAAGACCCTGAGTTCAACCCCAGCTCCATCAAAAATTAAAAACAAGTGTCCTTCAGGCTAGGGACATGGCCAAGAACATGCTCTCTCTAGGGATACCACAGGGATACAAACAATATATCCAATGGTCCAAGCTACAGCTCCCACATCAACAATAACAACAAGACACCATCTAATAAATAGCTTTCCTTACACTCTTATTTTCTTTCCATTTATCTTCTTTACCCTGTCCTAGAGAAAATGGTCTTCACAGTCACATAATTGTTTAATGTTTTCTTTTTTTGGGTCCGGTCATGGGGCCTGAACTCTGGGCCTGAGCGCTGTCCCTCAGCTCTTCAGCTCAAGGCTAGTGCTCTACCACTTGAGCCACAGCACCACTTCCGGCTTTTTTC